GACCACGTTTTGTTTAAGCTGGCAGCTTCTGTGCAGCGTTTCAGTGACTCACCGACCAGAGTTCATCACAATCCTTAACCATCCGGCACTAAAACGCATTATTTTGAACTTATTAGTTCACTGAACATGAACGACAAAGTGTCTTCTAGATGTTGCACGGAGTATTTAGTGTGTAACACAAGTTAAACACGTTCTTGTTGAACTCTTCCAGCAATGGCCGCTGCACGTTTGGTGCGGCTGCCAGCAGTGTCTCTCAATGATGATAATTACACAGACCTGTACTGAATGACTGTGACTGCATTGAATTATTCTGATGTGAGACACTGGTTATATGTAAATGTATTTATTTTTATTGACTCGTGCCATCCTGAACTCTGCTCGTGGAGGGTCACGTGTTACCCGGCCACATGAAGTTAGCCTGCTAGCTAACGCTTCATGCTAAAGCAATGCTTTCTGTTTTACAGATGGAGACGAAACATCCAGAAACTGCTTGCTGCCAAGGTAATTTATCTACACCACGTGGCTCGTTGGGACATGCTGTAGCATCACATGCGTATTATATTGATGCTTTTGGGTTAACTCGACATAACCCTGAGGCCTTAATGCTACAATGATGTTCAAATTGAACTTTCTCACTGAAACTCTTTTGAGGAAACTTCACACCAAATTCTGAGTAGCATTAAACATATCTTATATGTGAGATGCTTGAAGTCGTCCTAAAACTCATGACATTGGTTTTTTCCCCTCCAGGTGTGAGGAGACTGTGGCTGAACTCTACATGAGGTAATTTAAAGATCAGTTCTTCAGATCAGAACCTGTTGACTCTGGCTGTCCAGTGATGAATCCATGAATTTTCTACCTGAATCAGCATTTGAAGAAGAAACTTCTTTACCAGATTCTGAGAAGCATAAAAATCACATTTTGTTAAATGGTAATATTAAAGAGGTCCACGTCTAAATCTGAGCTCTCCTCCTCCAGATGTTCACGGCCGATCACAGTTGAGGATCAAGAATGAAGGACGTCTGCAGGTGAGCGCGACTGAAGCTAGAAGGAACTGTCAGATTCCACAAGGGCCATAAATGATGATGTTTTTAATAGACAAGCATATGGCTGATTTTTGTGATGCGAGGTTATTAACCTGATGAGCCCTTGAGAATACTGAAGCTCAGATTTACCCCTCACTTTATGGCTAACCCTGATGTTTCTTTTCAGGTTCTGCACGGTCGACTCACTAACCTCTGCAAAGTGCACAATGGTGAGAAAAGCATGGAGTTATTTGAGTTTATTCAGTGGCGGTGTGTAAACATGATGAGTACAGAAGACAAGCATATACCTGATTAAAATGAAGCCAGCCTTCTATCTGATTACCCCTTGTAGAATAAATATAGTTTAAATTCCTCTGCATGTGATTTACACCATGTTGTTTCTCTGGTAGGTGTGTCTGTTACCAGATGCTTGAAGAAGGATGTCACCTACAAGTCATCATGTAAGTCTGAGTGTTTGTTTCAAGTTGGATGAAATGCCTCCTGCAGAGAATCTGAAGTGTTAGTTTTGTAACACTGTATTGATTACAGCATGTTAAGTTGTTTGACAGGATGAAATGGGATAACACCCATCAAACCACTGGACGACTAATGTCACATGGCAGTTTGTCACCAAAGCACTGATCAAACATTTGAACCTTAATGTGACACAAAGTTATTGTTGGACTCTACTGAAGTGCTTTTTTTCTCTTGCAGAGCTGTGAAAGGATTCATAAAGAGGATTCAACTATCACGGTAACTATTTTCCGCCCCAACACATTATAATAATGTACATGTCGTCATAATGCAGTTTCAATGATGATGAACTTAGCTCACTTTGAACCAATGTGAAACGACACGAACTTCTGAGCAACTGCATTATTTTAGATTTCAATGCCGGTTTACCTTCTGGATTGTATTTAACTTATGATGCAGCAACGATCCTATTCTAAACTTTTAATTTTCATCTCTTGCAACAGATGATTCATTCACTACTTCAACACGATTGTGGTCTAGTTGAAGGTAAGATATAAACATTTAGAGGATTGGTACCTGTAGCCTTTATTCCCAGACCTGCTGAAAATGATGAGATATATATGGAATCTCGTTCGTCTGAACTAATGTTGAGAAATATCATATCTGACATCAGCGAAGGTCATTTTAAGTTGTAATACGAGTAACAATCCTATTCTAAACTTGTTGCACATCTGTATCAGTCGCGTGATCTGTTCATTCAGATTTGTTTGAAAGTCAATGTAGACTTGAACATTGTGCTGTTTCCTTTGCATGTGCAGTAAATTTGTTCTCTTGCCAACAGATGATTCATTCACTACTTCAACACGATGGTGGTGAAGTTGAGGGTAAGATATAAACATTTAGAGGGTTGGTACCTGTAGCCTTGATTCCCAAACCTGCTGAAAGTGATGATAAATTTGGAATGTGGTTCGTCTGAACTAAAATTGAGAATATCTGACATCAGCGAAGGTAAACAGTGAGTAGTGTTTGTTTGTGTCCTCAGATCTGACTGTAGTCTGTTGCAGGTGTCTGGCTTTGGAAGATGCTGACATCTTCTCCACAGCAAAGGTGTTCATCCAGGTGAGTGAGCTCTTTAAATGTTAACTAGGTGATTGACACCCAGTCTGAAGTTTATAGTCTGATTTACAACTAGAAATGTTTCCTTCGTGATGACATCCGCACACGTCTTACGCCTTGGTTCAACGCCAGAACCTGAAAAGGTGGACCCACTGGTGTTACCTTGGCAATAAGGGGAAGACACGTTGGGGTTACCAACAGTCTGAATGGAAACTAAACATGGATTTGACTAAATAATGAAATTGTGACTCTGCCTGCCAGGCAGATGTGGGTGATAATGGAGGTTTAGAACATGATGTAGTGTCAGACCAGTGCTTTGAATAGAAAAATCTAAATGTCGTCTCTTTAGCTGCTGAAGTCAAAGTGTCCTAACGAGTTCCTTGTCTTCAGCCAGTAGGACGAGCTGCCTGAAAAGCTGTGGATGAAAATGGACACGGTATGTTTGAATCTCAACCGCCACAGTGACACTATTGTAGAGTGAGATGATTAATCCTATGCAGTCAACAGTCCCCATGCTCCAGGTACCAGACTATCCATGCATGAAACAATCAACCCTGTTGGTCCGATCAGACACTGAGAACCCTGAAACAAGCGATCAGGTGTAAAGTGATCTCCGGCTCCCTGAAGGGTTCTGATGGTGTGGGTTGTTTGTTACCTGGATAATGACTGATAACACTTGCTGATCACATTCTTAACACTAGTTCTGTGCATCAACAGACGTGTAAACTTAATAACTTTTCTTCTTATTCTTTGTTCTTAGAAGTCAACCTCTATGCTGAACGGAGTATGACGTCATCTGGATTGCCCAGACTTGTAAGTTGTAGATGTCTGTCTGTGATTCTTAAAGGAACAGTGTGTAGGTTTTAGGAGAAGTTGTCAGAAATTGAATGTAATCAGCGGGGGAGGGGGGGAATGTGTTAAAAGTATTTCTTTCACCTCAAACCTGTCATGGCACTCTGCCGTTGGGAGGAGTTGCAGTTGGATACGATCGTGCCACTAAATCTTACACACTGCTCCTTCAGTAGAAGTGATGAGTTTGTTATTACCGCCCCAGTCTGATAATTCATGACTGATTGGTACCCCTCTGATCACACTAGAGCTAATAATGTAGTCGTTCACATTAATCAAACTGGATGGACTAACCCGTTTCAATGGTTACAGGTTTGGTGTCGACCTCTTCGGTGTGGTGAACAGCGGACCGTTGCAGGTAAATGACAGAGTCTAGTAATGTTTCTGGGATTGTAGGTGTGATGTGGACATACCCTCCAGTCAAGAGTGTCCCACCAGGTGCCTCTTTCTCCTCCAGTCAGCCTCCTCTCCTGTTGACCCTGTACGGCACTGAGAACCCCGACTCCCTCCTTCAGGTCAAGGGATATATTAAAGATGTATATAATAAATGTGTTTATAGCTAGATGAATACATGTATAGCAATATTATTCTATATACATTAGTGGTTAGTTTAGAATGTAGATGGATATGTGTCGGGTGTAAAGTGACCTGTAGGAGTTCTGATGGAGAGGGCGCTGACTGTGACGGCATGACTGAGAACCAACCTGTGATTACATCCCATAAGTTAAATCCTACCTTGTATTCTAATTTAACATTGTACTGGAAACTTGTACTGAAGCATGGTGTCCTGGCAAAGAAAGGCAGCATTAACAGTTTCAGACAAACGGGATGGAAACATTGTACAATGTACAAAAGATTTGACAACACAGAATTGACTTTATGTAATGGTAGTATAACACACTTAAGACTACTGCATTGAGGTGATAAATTAATGAAATGGTGGCAGAGGATCACATTCTTTGCAGCATGTTGTGGATTCATAAGGACGCATTTTATAATAAATCTAATTGTAAAGGTTGAAAGTGGACACATAGGAGTGTGACAAGTGTGGCCCATAATCATTATTTATATATAACTATTTATTTTAGGTCATGCAGTGTGAAGTTATCACATGGTCTCGATCGTGTGCTCCCTGTCCGCTCATGTTGGTGAGTATTCAACGTTCAGAAATGTTTATATTACTTGCTCGTTAATTAAAGTAGAAGTGATGAGTTTGTTATTACCGCCCCAGTCTGATAATTCATGACTGATTGGTACCCCTCTGATCACACTAGAACTAATAATGTAGTCGTTCACATTAATCAAACTGGAATGACTAAGGCTCGTCTCTTGTTGCAGGTTTGGTGATGCTGTCCAACTCTTCAGTTTGGGGAACAGCAGAGATGCTTTAAACTGCTGCAGGTAAATGAGAACATATAGTAATGTTTCTGGGATTGGGGATATGATGACTACAGGTCCGTCAGTCAAGGGCTAAGCAGCCCCTTACTCCTCCAGTGGGCTGCCCCTCCTGTTGACCCTGTATGGCACTGAGGACCCTGACCTCCCTCAGGTGTAAAGTGACCTGCTGGAGTTCTGATGGAGTGGGAGTGCATGACTGAGAATTTCTCTGATTGCATCCCAGAAGCTAAATCCTACAGTTACACAGCTTGCAATTTGTATACCAGTCAAAAGCATGTGACCATAATGTGGTTAATACGGTTTAAATTGTACAATCTGGTATTTTATGTTTCAACAATGGTGAAGACAAAGAGGACAGGTGACTAAACAACGGTTTAAATTAGAAAATTCTCCAAAGAGGCAAACTATTATTGGCTATGATGGTTAAAAACATTATCTGATGGTAAAATGCAGCCAGAAGAGACAACTGTCTCTACAGCATGTGGATTCACAAGGAATCCAGATTTTGTAAATTGTAGATCTACTTTCCAAAGATGTTGTGAGCACTAGAACGACTTTGTCTGAAACAAGTTTCAAAATGATTCACGTCAGTTCTTTAATGAAATGTTTTTAAATATTACCGCCGAATCTGAGACGTTGTGACTGATTGGTATCCACTCTGCTTACAGACTAGGATCTTTTGTCTTGTGTTGGTGCACATTTTGATGTCTTGTGTTTGTGATCTTGTCAGTCCTGCTGGGTCTGCTGCTGACTGCTTCTGGAGTTTATGGTAAGAATTGACAACTTAAGCTTCAATATTTTCATCTAGAAGTGATGAGTTTCTTTTTACCGCCCCAGTCTGAAAATTCATGACTGATTGGTACCTCTCTGATCAACATGTTGACTTTAATGTTATGGTGTAAGTTTATGCCGCTTGTTTCTAAAATGATGTCCGTCTTTACAGACTCCGGCCAGACCGTGGACTCATCAGTCGTCTCATGCTGCAGGAAGTTTCCCAAAAGCTCCAGGAATACTTCAGAAGACATGTTTACATATTCATAAGTACCAATGATAACCTGTAGTTTGAACAGGACAGTTGTGTGCCTTGAATGATGCATTATTT